ATCCTGCCTGAAATCTTCCACCATAGTCCCCATACCCAAGAAACCACATATTTCTTCCCTCAATNTTTTTTACTGACAGTGTATTGTGCTACATCAAGAACTGTATTGACACTGTAGCTGTGGATAAACGCATCTGGGTATTCCCGAACCAGAAGCCCAGGATGACTCAGGAGGTCCAGCGTCTGCTAAAGACAAGGAATATTGCCTTCAGGTCTGGGGACAGGAATGTCTACAGTACAGCCCGAGCTAGCTTGAAGAATGGCATCAGAATGGCTAAGTCTGACTACAGGAGGAGGATAGAGGGATATTTTGACAGCAACAACAGCAGGCAGATGTGGCAGGGAATCCAGCATCTCACCAACCACAGGACCAACTTCGCAGCTCCAGAAGGCGACTCCACGCTGGCAGAGGAGCTGAACCTCTTCTTTGCCCGCTTTGAGGTGAAGCCAACAGAAGCAGCCCTAGCCCTGTCTACAGTCCCATCCTGCCTGAAATCTTCCACTATAGTCCCCATACCCAAGAAACCACATATTTCTTCCCTCAATCACTACCGGCCAGTGGCACTAACCCCTGTGGTGATGAAGTGTTTTGAAAAACTGGTCCGGGGTCACATCACAGCACTTCTCCCTTCTGGCTTTGACCCCCACCAGTTTGCCTACAGAGCAAACAGATCCACCGAGGATGCTGTGATCACAGCCCTCCATGCTGCTCTGTCACATCTGGAGCAGAAGGTGAGCTATGTGTGAATGCTCTTTGTGGACTATAGCTCTGCTTTTAATACCATCCTCCCTCACAGACTGGTGGACAAACTGGAGCACCTTGGTCTTCCTCACTCAACCTGCAAGTGGATTATGAGCTTTCTGAACAACCGACAGCACAGAGTTAGGGTGGGGGAACATTTATGTGTGGAGAGGGTAGCTGAGTTCCGTTTCCTGGGGGTCCACATTGAACAGGGCCTCACATGGAACATCAACACCTTGGAGCTGACAAAAAAGGCCCAGCAAAGCCTGTACTTCCTGAGGGTTCTCAGGAAGAACAACATCAAGGAGAAACTGCTGGTGTCCTTCTACAAGTGCTTTATAGAGAGCATAGCATACTGACTTACTGCATCTGTGTATGGTATAACAGCAGCACTGCGGCTCAAAGAAAAGCTCTCCAAAGGGTTGTAAACACAGCCCAAAAAATCATTGGCTACCCTTTCCCCTCACTGGAGAACTTGCACAGCGACAGCTGTTTAAAAAAAGGCACAACACATCATAAAGGACACTTCTCATCCCTGACATTCTCTGTTTACACTGTTGCCTTTAGGCAGACGATACAGAGCAATCAAACCAAGAACCAACCGCCTTAGAGACACTTTTTACCCGACAGCAATAACAAAACTAAATGCAACCAAAAATAACCATTGATCATCATGGATGATGTGTGTGAGAATGTACTATTCTTATTAGTTGTTTTGTATCGGTTATTGTTATTTATTTCTTATATTATGTGTAAATGGTGGTGAAAGTGATTTCTGTTTTTGTTTTGTTTTTTAAGCATATACACTGATCGATGGCAAATTAAAATTTCGTTGTTCTTGTGACAATGACAATAAAGATAAATTGAATTGAAATTGAATTGAATTGAATAAAGAATCCCATAAAATCATTGCTGCTAAGAGCAGGTGGAATGGACGGTTCAACAGAGCTATGGCTCTGGGTGAGTTTGGCAACTGCATTAAAAAGAAATCTAGGATTATTCTTATTCTCCTCTATTAATGAGGAGAAATATGCTGCTCTTGCTTTACAAAGGGTCCTCTTATACAGCAGTAAACCATTTTTCCAGACTAGGAAGCAGGGCCGGCGATTTCTATAGGT